TATATATATATATATATATATAAAGGAATAAATTCTTAAAATAAAAAAAAAAAAAGGGTAAGTGATGAGTTATACATCAACAGAGAGGGGAATAGTGAAAGATCTCTTGTAATAAGGTGTGAGTAGTGAGTGAATCGTTGGAACAAGAATGGAGAATTGATCGTTGAGTATATTATTACGTAATTTTCGAAGAAGAGGAAAACAAGTAACGCCGGATAGATCGATAATGATGATGATGATGATGATAATGATAATATTATATATTGTTGTTAGATTATGTATAATATATATATATATACACATAAACACTGATATAAAAATAAAGTAACCTAGATAATAAGCGATCACTTATTCACATCACCTACACACGGACACACGTGAAACATGCGCGTGAAAGTTAACCCTTTATTTAGCGAATCGAACTAAAGAAATTCTTATTTTCGAATAATTCTTTTTTTCATATCGATATTTCGGGCAAAAAGTAATCGATATCTTCTCTTGATTGGCAATCGAGATTTTTTTCTTTCTTCGATCGAGTATACAAAAAATTCGAAAGATAATAAAAAAAAACGGCCAAATTAAAATGATCGTGCCAAATAAAAGGTTAATGGAGAAGCGAATACACCAAGATCACGAAACAACATTCTCACACGAAACACGAAACAAGAGACAGATAGAAGATTTCGTAGTTGTACCCATCCCCCGTCAAACCCATCCCCCTGAACACCATCTCGGCTCTTGGTTACGCGTAAAAAATGCATAGAGTCCTACTTTCTCTACTTCGACTCTCCTCTTGACCCTTGAAACGATGGAAAAAGAGAAAAAAAGAAAAAGAAAAAAAGAGAGAGCCAGGGAAGGAAACAGGAAACGCGTGTCGGAGATTCTTCCTCCAGATCGCGCTTCCTGTCCATCTTTCCTACAATTAAATGGAAAAACAGGAACACAGAAAAATTTCAAGTATCAAGGAGGAGGCGACGACAGAGTCACCGGATCAGAATCTCCGAAAAAAGCTTGAACGAAAACGATAACGAAGCGGGGATAAAATCAAAACGAAAAAAAAAAGAGAAGGATAATCGAGCTTTCCTCTTCCTACGTTGTACGAGAAATTCACGGCGTTTCTTTTAGCTTTCACGGCGGGAGAGATGAAGAACGCGAAATGCGAGAGAAAAATAAAAAGAAAAATGAGGTTTAACAAAAAAAAGAAGAGAAAAAAAAAATGAAAAAAAAAAAAAATGATAAAGCATGAAAATGATTTTTAGGGGCGCGCCTCATCGTTATAGCTCTTAATACAATAGTAATATTACGAGTAATAAACAAAAGTGAATTAACCAGAATATGCGTTTATGTTATTTAGTTCTAAAAAAAATGAAAAAAAAAATGTAATAAAAATCAATCGTGTTACCAACTCGTTCGTCTATTTATTTACCAATCACCCTCTCTCGATCGAACTCGCACATTTCACGTCGCACACGTTTTTTCAACATCCTAATTTATATTTAATCGGACGATATAACGATATTGGATTCTCGTTATATCGAAATTTCGACAATCGATCGAATGGATTCCGCTGTGCGTGCAATTCGCGCGCTACTCCCAATTCCTTTTTTTTTCTTCTTTCTTTCTTTCTTTCTTTCTTTTTTTTTTTTTGTTTTTTGTTTTTTCGCAATTCTCGTAAGCGATTTCAAAATTGCTCGTGAAAACGCTCGCTACCTCCACTCCTCGTGCCACTTGTCGACACGCGACGACTCCGCTTATTATTTTTTTTCCAACAATCGTGTTCCTCAGTGCGGATAAAAACGTTGTCGCGACACGTTCCGCGAACCAAAACTTTCCACGAGTTTTTTGGAAATGGACAGTTTTTCGAACCGATCCGATTAAATCGATCGCGACGAAATGAAGCAAACCTTTCTCTTCTCGCTCATTCTCTTCGTAATTGACAATTGCTCGTCCGAGAAATTAACGTTGAGGATCGATTTGAACGAGCCCGTTGCTGTTACCGATCCCAAGTTTCTCAGTCTCACCATCGATCCGGTAACTCTGTTGGCCGGAAATGCGCTCAGGTACGTACTTGACGAGTATTTATAACGATTATTATTTCTTATCTATCTTTTCTTTCTATCCTATCAACGGGCGATCGAAATTTAAAAGATTTTCGAAAATATTTTATCAAGGTATACGAGACGATATTTCGCGCGCAATCGAACGAAAGAATGGTCGGAAGAGGAAAGAAGCGTGAAACGAGAATTTGAGATCGATTCACGAAACCGATGAATAGAATGGAGGAAGGGGCGAGGAGGGGGGAGGGGGGGGGAACTCTGAGAACGATTCCGCGTGTAACCGTTGAAAACAAAATTCAATCTACGCTTCGACGAAATAAAACGTGTACGTGTTTTAATTTAAATTTCAATCCCTGCCTTCATACTCTGCCGATACTATATACACTATATTATCGATTCTCGTCGAGAGAAATCTATAGAGATCTCGAATCGTAAAACTCGAATCTTTTCGAGATCATTGGACGAGTAATCTAGGAGAATCTTTTTAACATGGAAACCGTGATCGTTGCCGTTTCAGCACGCATTTCGAGAGAAGCGTAAACCTGGCGAGAGCCTTGAGTCCAGCGTATTTGCGACTCGGAGGGCCGCGCACCGCTCTATCCCACTTTGAGACCACCGATCAAAATTCCGAAGAAAATGGAAAGAAGAGAAGGATCGTGCTATCCGGTGAGCCTAATTGAAATCGAAAAAGAAAAAACATACGATTCCTTCTCCATTCCCTCGCGACAAATTTGAATCCACGACGGAACCGAGCTCTCCTCCTTCGTCAAAGATAAATACGAAGAATTCGACGCGCGGAATTCGAAAATTGCATCAACGACGAAACACCGTCGTAACAACCACGTATCTTCCTCGGCCAATTTCGCAGCATCGTGGTCAACCAGTTGCAGAAACTGGCTGGATTAACCTAAACAATGGTTCATGCGCCGGTTGGTACGTTGGTACACGATGCAAACTCGAGGTGTTTAGCGAAGAGTAACGAGAAGGTTTACGTACCGTGGATATACACGGGCATCGTTTCGAGCTCCTATTCGCCACGTGTTATTTCTCCGACTCTTGATTATTCTTGTGCAAACGCTATCCTCCTCCTAATTAGTTCAGTAATTTAATATTTCTGCGCGACATGATCCGATACTTGTTGTAGCAACACGGAAGTTTATTCCTTTGTTCTCCATCCGAATCGCTTTTATCTTCCACTTGTTATTATACCTCGAGTAAATGTTGTTTCCTCGAGTAAATGAATAGATGCTCGGGCTTAGTGAATAGGATCCTTTAATTTTCGAATCTTAACGCTCTTTAGCGCGACGACAACTATGACGGTATCCAATTCCCTTCTCCTTTTCCATCCTAAATCTCTACTCTTTCGTTGCCGGAAAAAATGAGTGATCGGAAATAATTTTCGTAAAAAAATTTCGAATCTTCATCGAATTCCCCTCTACTCTTCCACGAATCATTTTTCACCTATTCTTTGCATACTCGACAAAGGCTGTAGGCTTTGGGAAGAGTAATTGGAAAAAAGCAGGATTCCATACGAAATTTCTCACATTTTCCTATATCCATCTCCGATATATCGCGGATTCCATCAACGGCGTTTGGTGATCGTAGAATCCGATTGGGTATTGGCCCATCAGTGGGCTGAAAAGGCAGGGTTGGACGTGATCGCCTGCATCTCGCCGGACGAAAATCGACAAAAGACGATCGAAGGGGCCGTAGAGGACGCGACGGAGATAATTTCTTTCAGCGATCACATGGGTTTTAACGCCAACTGGCAGCTGGGTTACGGTAAATTGATTTCGAAACGTTCACGTTTGGAGAAAGTTTATCTGCGATTCTTCAAGTTTCGACTTTTTTCAGAACCCCAAATTAGATGCAATCTAACGGGCAACGATCTGGCGAGGCAAACGTTGGATCTACGAAAATCATTGGACCAATTTCCCAGATATTCCAACAGCGTGGTCACAGGGCCTGATGTTATAATTTACGATAACGAGAAGCATCTAAATTATCTTCGAGATTACTTCACTGTAGCCATTCCTGCGCTTTCAGCGATCACGTGGCATCCGTAAATGTTTTTCTTTTTTCTTTTTCTTTTTTTTTTCTTATCTTAGTATACGCTGCTGCTATATAATTTTTCGAACGGAATGAAAATCGAGTGGTAAAGAATCGAGGGTATCGTAAGTCGGTAACACTGTCTCGAAATCGTTTCCAGCGACTTTGCGAGCATCACTTTGGATAACGGAGGAGCGTACATACACCAGGACAACTTGCAAGAAGATAAGGAAGAATTGTTGAAAGCTATAGGTCGATTCGTAGACGATCGACCGTTGTGGATCGGTGAGTGACTTTCGATCCAACAGTATTTCAGTAAGCGCATTTGTTATTATTATCACTATTATCATTATTATTATCATTATATTCGATCGAAGCCGAGTCGAGGCCGGAAGAATGCAAGAATTTGTACATAGGGGCTCTCGTTTTGGCGAGAAGACTAGGAAATTCGGCAAAAGCGAACGTGAACGTGATCATGAGGCAACCGACAGATCTGACTTATCCAACTCCAGTAAGAACGAGCTCCGATTATTATATCTACATATTTAAAAATAAGTGACCGACGCTTCGATGGTGTGTGATACGATGTCGTTTCGTATTCAGGATTACTGGGTGTCTTTTCTCCACAAGAGCCTCGTCGGGCCGCAAGTGTTCGATGCGAGGATTCGAAACGAGGAGGATCACGTGTACCTCTACTGCCAATGCGCTTCGAGCAAAAACGGATCGATCGTGATTTTTGGGGTGAATCTGAATCCTCGTGAGGTCACGTTCGATCTGGAAGGGATTAACGTCACCACGGTCCACGAATACGTTCTTACGCCAGGTTTCGATGCGCCCAATCGAATGTTTGCCGAGTAAGTGTGGAATAATTGATGAATCGTAATTATGCGATTACTCTTTTTACCCTCTTCTCCCCAGGACCATCTTCTTGAACGATAAACTATTGACTCTGGTCAACGACACGGTCCCCGAGACGCGGCCAAAGATTTTGACCGACGCGAAAGGTGGCGTGGATCTCCGTTTGCAGTCGGGCAGCATCGGTTTCTGGATTATTCCCAATTTGAAAGTAATGCGAAGCTTGTATCGCCCGTATTTACCCAACTTATATACCTGTAAAACAAATTAATTTCCTGTGATTCACGCATAGATAAAATCTTGCACGAGGGAAGAGACGCTCGAGGTAAATGACTCGACCGCGCGAGAAAAGGAGATGGACGAGAAAGATACGAAAGCACGCGGATCCCTGCAAGGGAGATCGAAGGATATCAAGAGGAAGCAGAGAGGTGACGGGTCGATCTATAGAAACAGCATAAAGAGGGAATTGAAGAGATTGAAAAGATTCGTGAAAAAGAAGCTGGACGATTACGATTACGCGAAATCATTGCCGAAGCTAAGAGCGCTGTCCAACTCGAGGGAGCAAAGTGGCAACAAAGGCCCTGCGGTGTCCCAAGAGGACGTGCAAAGCAAATTGAAAGAGTACAAAGATCGGGTGTCACGGTTGAGGAATCTGATGGCGTCGAGCGACGCGGAGTTGAGAAAATCGATCGGCGACCTCGTCACGGACGTGATTTCCTTGATGTTGAGGATACAGAATACACTGGAAACTATGAGGAAGGAAATCGATCGGGAGAACAAGACGGAGTCGTTCACCACCGTGAAAGAGACGTTGAAGTCCCTTTACGAGCTCTTGATTCACGCCAACTTGAACGAGTCGATCGATTCGAGGGAGATGGATCGAGGACTGGACAGGGCCAAGAGGGAATCGAGCGGAGGAATCCCTTTCGTCCTAGAGCCCAAAGGGTTCGATCCAAGAATCGGACGGTGGAAAGATGGGGGGAGTAGGAAGAAGCAACCCAGTTTTCTGGAATTGGATAGCGGAGAGGATACCTCCTTTTACCGATTCGATTCTCAAAATTCCTTCCCCGTTAGGAATGGAGATTCCTCGTCGAATACCGATTACGCGAATGACGAATTCGAGGATTTGGAGGAGCAAGTTTCAACGATGGAGCGCGTGGACGATGCGTGGGATGATTATTACGAGCCCCCCGAATTTTTCAAGAATTCGAGGAACGATCGAATGGGCATAAAAGTTCCCGAGCTGTGGGAAGTGGAAAGAGCGTACGAGGGTGGAAGGGACGATAGATGGAACGGAAGGGGTGGGAAGAAACTCGAGATGGTGAAGATTGAATCGGATGGCACGATACGAGACACGAAGAGCAAGCTTTTGGAAAAATTCCTTTTCCGAAAAATCATCGACCCATCTACGCGTCTAACATCCAACCAGACGAATCTGTCATCCGATCGTTCTTCTCCGGGCGAGCACCGTTCGGGAACACGGTGTACAAGAAAGTTTCCAATCACGATCCGAGCTCTATTTTCAAGGGATGGAATCCTTGGATCGGAGCCGATCACCCCGAAAACAAGAGATCGAAAAGGGGGAAGACGGACTTGCGCGTTATACTGGATCAGGAGATGATCAAGGAGGACGACGCCAATTCGAAGGATTGCAATTGCAGGGTTATCAGACATTCGAGAAGTTGCGATTGCCGATCGAAAAGGGGCGCCATCGAGTCGCTGGAATCGGTGGACATCGACGCGCTCGCTCCTCCCACGAAACAACGCCTCGTCGTGGGTTTGGACAAGGACATAGTGCGCGCCAATTTGCAAGAGGACACGGACGTGGAGGTGTTCGCGGATCTCGAGGGCGGGCGTATAGAAAAATCGACGCAAGATTCCTCCAAGATTGCGGGGGATATCGGGAAACCGTTCTCCCGATCGATCGAGTCGAAAAACGTTCGAGATACGCGCCACGATTCGAATATCCCCGCTTTGGAAAGTCGGTCAGAGGTGGCGTCGTTCGCCAATCTGGACCCGCGAATTTTAAACGCGAAAGGGGACGAGGATCGGTCGACGGAAAGATCGGTGAGACGCGATGCGAACAAGTCTCTCTCCGAGGAGGATGGCACAACGATCAATGTCGAGGGGTATATTGAAAATTCTACGGAAAATTTTACGGAAGGGAGCTGGGAGGAAACCGAGAGTTCGACGAAGGGTGAAAGTTGGAGCGCTGCGTTGGTCGAGACGACCACCGCTTCGTCGGAGGAGCAAACTGTCAACGAGAAGGGATCCGAGAACAGTTACGATAAGGTTGGTGACGCAAGTTCGAAAGCAAGAGGGAGCAAGCAACTCGAGCGACCTGGTAAAAAGGTGGCGGAAGTAGATAAAGTGGGGAGCTCGCCGACCGGTTCGAGGAAGAGTAAGAAACGCGCGCCGAGATTAAACGTGGCGAGACAATCCGAATTGTCGAAGAAAGTGAGAACGTTGCAGGCATTGAGGATCTGTTTCGTAAATTGAGAGAGTCGCGCGTGTTGCTCCCCATCCCGATCTCGAGATCGAGATCGATCGAGAAGGGGGCCGCGGAATATCGAAGGAATCGTGCTCAACAGGTGAGACAATTGCGGGACAAGTTGCGTGACAAGAGGCAGATGATGTTGAGCAAGTACGAGAGAGGCGTTGACGAAGTGGTCGACAAGGAGGAGAACGCGGAAAAGAGGAAAGTGAGGAGGAGGGAGGCGTGGGAGAGGATCAGGGAGAGCGAGGATTTTCGAGACATGATCGACCGCGAGAAATTAGCCTACATGCTCATGTATCGACCGAGCAAATACGACGCGAAGAGGCAAGCTGATGAGGAGGAGATGTTGGACGACGTCGAGGTACCGGTGACCGAAATTCTGAGGAGTAAGGACACTTGGCGGAGGATTTTTAATCCGAAAAATGAGAAAAATTTCCGCGATCCCGTGAACGGTTCTTACGACAATTTGGAGGTGATACGATCGGAGGATTTACGATTGACGGAGAAAAGAGAAGAATCTGAGGAAGAGGAAGGCGAGAGGAAAGATAAAGTCTATTTCGCTCTAGTGGAGGATGTAGAGAGGCCACGGATATTCTATTACGAGGAGAATCCAGGGGAGGAAGGGAAGAGGGTTATGAGGGTAACTAATTATTTTATTCTATCTATTAAGAGATTCTTTCGTTCTTTCTTTTTATTTTATTTAATTAATTTGCTCGACGCAGGCATCGTCTCGACGCTCGCCCAGCCAGCACACGTTCAATCGTCTCCTGCAAAAGTATCTCGGAAGTATTAAAGTCGTTCAATATTCCGGGAAAAAGGAGGAAGAATCGGATCAGCTCCCCAAGGGCAAAGAGATATACATAATCGATCCATCCCGATACAAAGGAGGGGATCCTCCTTTGCAATTGTACAAAAGTTCGAGGATATCGAGGCCCGATACACGAGTCGCTTCGAAAAAGTACAAAATTATTTGGAGGCCTATTACATTCAAACCTTTCAGGATTCGTGAATCGACGCAGCACAAGCGCGAGGATAAAAATACGAGCGACGAAGAAGAAATGACGGAAAATCTTCTCAACGATTTCATCGATTATCTAGATCCAAAAACTGTCGACGAGCTTCTGAAATCGGGGAACGTCATAGTGGACGATAAAATGGAAAATTTCATGCATTCGATCGTGGAGAAAGGAGAAGAGTCGCGGTCGGAAGAAATCGTGGAAGCCGAAGATGATCGAGAATTCGATGCGCAAGGAAGCGAGCAACAGGGGGAAAGTTATCGAAATGTTACGGAAGGGAGAATGCAAATCGAAGGAGAAAATACATCTGAGACGGTGGCTTCGAACGAAAATATCGAGAGTAGAGATAATAGGAAGAGGAAGGATTCGAAAAAGATGGAAATAAAACGGAAGCGAAGAAACGCCATTACCGAATCGAAAGAAAAATATTTCGAGCCTCCGTTTTTTCTGCGCAAAACGAGCGAGAAAATTGAACCGAACAATTATTTAATGGATTCGAGGACGCAAAGTTCGAAGGAGATTTCTGACGAAAATCTTCTTCTTAGAATCGAAGAAAGAAAGGGGGAAGAAAAGTTAAGTTTAGAAAAATCGGCCCTTTCCGATGAACGCGGAACGTTAAGGCAAGCGCCATGGGTGGAAAGATCCGGAAGAAGAGTTCAAAGAGAAGCGGTGGAGAAGATCGGCGTGGAAAATAGCAACGTGGAAAAGGTAAGGCTTAAGAATAGAACCATCTTGCTTTTTTAAAATTTGCATAACACTCGAATCTCTCCCCTTTCAAGATACAACCATCCGAATTGCAACATCTGGACGAGCCTTCGAGCACAAAGATTCCGACATTCGGTGAAATCGATGACGTCGAAAAATCGCTGATTCAGAAGATACCGCTTGAAAAATTCATGCCGAAAGGGAGCATGGACAGGAGTAAGAGGAAGAATATAAGAAGAAGTAAGAAAGAGGATGATGGATTATCGTCCCTGATAGAAAAGAGTATACCGAAGATAGGGAATGTGGTAATCGACGGATTAAACAAAGCGGAAAATTTCACCGGATCGGTGGAACAGCTAATTAAGAATTTGGACGAGAATTATAATAGGACGATCGAGAAGGGAGATCGAGAAAGGGATTCGACCGGTACCAGATCGATAGATCCTGCACAAAATGTTTTTCGAAATGCGATAACGAATGTAAGGAAATTTTTCATGCTGCTGAACGGAGTCACGAATATTCTTCGTGGATAACAAGTTTTGTTCTTTTTTGTAACGTATTATAATGTATTTTAATTTTGTACACATTCTATTTTTATAATATTTTGCGTGTAATTTTTATATTTTTTTGACCTAAATAAAGATGTTGTAAAACGTTTGTTTGTTAACGAATATCCCTTCTCGGACAACGAGTGCAAAATACATTATTGATGCAATGCGCCGTTATTTTATTTTTTTTTTCATTAAGAAACTTTTTTAACTAAACATATGTATAATGTAACGTGAAACGATATGTAATTTCGTCGGCATCGACGATTAATTAATCCATGTAGCAAGATAACATAACATCACAAATTGCAACATGCAATTTTACCTGACACCACAAATTTTGCAACAAAAAGAAAAATATCAAAACATATGTATGCAACTTTCAACTTGAATATATCCATCGAGCTCCAAATCGTACAGTCGTCCATCGATCTCGGTGCAGATCGGTAATGTTAAACGCGAGTCTAACCGAGTGATCACGAGTTACATTCGTGACCACCATGTATCGTTCGATTTTTACGTATTCCTTGCTTCTTACTCTCGTTTCGTCAACCTGTTCGAAAACCATCGATATCGAGAGCAACGAGAAAATAAGGAACCCTATCACCGACAGGTAACTTTAATCTCTTTCTTAATATCCCCCAACGAAAGAAACAAAGTGCAAAGATGAATCGTCGTCGAAGAAAGAATCTTTCGACTTCTTGAAGGGGATCTCGATGCTGTGACGAGCCATACGTATTCCTCATCGCGACCATCATATTTACGAAAGATAATTCAACAAATTTCCCCCCCCCCTCGATATATATTTCAACACCCCATATACTGCTGGATTTACCATTACCCTCATAAATTCTCCCTTATCCCCTGCCATTTATCTAGCTTCCACCACCGAGTACATTCATTCGATTTTTCAAACGACCTCCACCTTGGACGAATTCCCTATTACGAGTCGGTCAGGTGAATCGCAATAAACGCGAAAATATGTTAGTCGACCAAGAGTAACGGTGGCGCAATTGCGAGCGTCAGCGCCGCTTAAATTTCATCTTGCTTGCAAGATTCGATAAAAACTTTGAATTTGTAAGGAACGCATCGAGTCGGCATAATTCGTGTATACGCGTGTATGGATCGCGAAATAAATCGAACAATCGAATGTAGCAGAGGTAACCCTTGCATAACGTGGAAATTAAATTCCAAATAATTTTGTATCACAAATTTGTACGACGCTTTCTAACAAATCGATCAACGAAAAAGAATTATATTTCTATTTAATTTTGAAAATTTTATTCGATATTACGAAACAAAGGAATAATTGATGATGCATATTACTAAAATTTATATAAAGATTTAAACAGAGATTCGATTGAATAATCGTACCGTGTAAAATCGCAATTGTAATTGTTATAATTATGTATTTGTATGAGTAAGTTGCGTAGTATCATCGTGTATCCGTTCATTTTGTAATAAATTTGGAATTATTCGCTTACCTAAGAGATGCCTCGAACGGAGTCCATCCTGGTCCATGATGCTGCTGACTCCTCCTTTGGACTCCACCGAAAGATCGTTGCACGGAAGATCGCGTTTGACAAAATACTGGCCGCTATTCACTTTGCATTACGAAATCACGATACGACTCGAATTCACACGTGTTATCTCGACCGCGCCCGAAACTAAACTAGTTTGATTTCCTCCATCTATCCCCGAGGCAATTTTCTGTTTACATACGCCTCGCGCCTATACACGAACGATATACAAAGTTATTTCCCCGTATGTTTTGATTCGCCCCGTTTCCAAGAAGAGTTTAGATTCCGCGTCGAGGGACGAAATACCTGGAATTATAACAGGACAACACGCTGACTTTGTTAAACTCTTACAATTTAACGCCTCTGCTGTTTATTATTGAAAACGGCACGAATTTTTTCCTTTCTATTGTTACCTACGTTTTCTATTATATATTTTTAATTATATATATATATATTTTTATAACATTTACAATATCGTGTAAAATTTAATTTATATTATGAATTTCTTTATATAATATAAAATTAAAATGTGCACTATATGTTAGATTCATTCAAAATAAATCTAAAATATTGTTTTATCTAGATTTTTGCCACGATATATCAATATAATTATACAATCATAAATTATGTAAATTATTATTGTATAATTATTATCGCTTAAGGGATTAAAGAAAGAGATAAAGAGTTAATATATTATAAACTTTCTTTGCAAAAAAGTGAATTTCAAATTTCTTTTTTTCCAGAACTACTTTCTCAAGCCCTCCCCCGATCGATCAGATCAACGATGAAAATTTGGAATCGGGATCGTCTGATTCGAAACTCGATACGAAAAGAAGCTTAGTAATTTTTGTACCAACGAGCGTAAAGGAAGAAGAAAATGGAGAATGCAAAGGGCAAAAAACAAAACGATGCAAGACATTTCATGGAGAAAGAGTTGGCGCGCCGATTCCCAGAGGAATCCTTCGAACCACGTTGAAGAGCATAGGAGACCCTTGTAATAATGAAAGACGTCGTGAATATTTCGTTGGTCGAAAGCCGAGCATGCATCTACTTTCTTTGAAAAAACCAATGACCATAGAGGAAGCAAAAAATGCAACTTTTCGTGACCAAGCTCTATTTGATTCTCTTCGAAAACAGTTGCTTCATTATAATTTCAATGTTGGCGCTACTCGCAAAAGTGGAACGGAGCCAAGGATAAACGTGTATGACGACGATAATTTCGTTTGTTACTGCAGGGAGAAAAGTAATCCTTCATCCAGGAAGAAAGACACGAATAATCGCGATATTATCTCGAAATTACGAGCATTGGCGAGGAAGGATAAGTGGAGGAATAAACCTGACGATCAGAAAGATGCACTCGTTGGCAAGAACAAGATCCACAATCGGCCCAGACGAAAATTCCATCTTTGCCTAACAGGTTCCCCGAGACCTATTATCTTCCCAACGAAATGAACCCAGTCCAGAGTCCAACATCTAACAGATTTCCTCATATGTATTATCTGCCCAACAACGCGGATCCAACGATGATTCCTAGGAAACGTGGACCAATACCTTATGCACCGAACACTCATCGTAAACTGGATCCTCCACTTTTAATACCAAAAAACACGATTGAACAAGCAATTCCACCGAGAAATAATATTCCATTTGATCCAATTGGACTCGATTCGGTCGTTGGGCCGGTCAATCGACAACACGATTTAAATAAAAACCAACAAACTGTTGAGCAAACGGATAATCCTTCGAACATGGTTAGCAACAATCTGTCCCAATCTCAAAATATTATTCCTGAAACGGCTACACCAAATTTGTCCAATATGAACGAAGATAAAACTTCGAAAAACGACGAAGAAGGGACGAACGATTACAATTCTGTGCCGTCGGAATCTTTTGATAAAAGTCATTTGCCACCGTCTGAAATTGTTGGATCTCCCTCCGATCTCCCTGCTAGCGTGCACGCTATCGATCCAAATTCGAGTGATGGATCATCCACGGGTTTAGGAAACGAATATGGGAATGAATACGAAATAACGGGGAGCGGAACGGGGTTGGATTATTCGGATATCAAAGAAGTTACGGTCGCATATTTCACGTCCAGAGCTTATTCCAACGAATCAGAGAACGATGGATCAACCGGTTACGATAATTTACTTGTAAATAGTACTGGCTCTATGAACGATGATCCAAAATATGATAACCATTATAATTTTAACTCTCGATTAAATAATTCTATGGAAAAAGCGGAAATAGGATCTGAAAACGTAGACGACACGAAAATGGATGGGCATAATTCAAAAAGTTCGGATCGAGGAGATGAAGAAGAAGGTATGGTAGGAGAAAATAATCCAAATTGGAATTCAAATCCAGAGGACAATATGGAAAATCAACAGCCGAAAAATTTGGATTACGAGAACTATGAGATACCTTCTTCCGTGGAGGAAGAATTCCCCGCGTTAATTCCTGAAAATACGATGTCCCTGGACGAAGCTGGAACCGTTAAGCTCAATGATAAAGACAATGAAATGAATAAAGGAAGAGATCCGGATGATATTCCTTCGCGAAACGAGAATGACTCGACTACTTCCTTCGAATCGACGCTGAAATCAGTCAGAACCGACGATTTTCCAAAGGATCCATCCGACCAAACATTGCCATTCTGCGACAACACGATGCTGCATAAATCGATAAAAGCTGTAATTAATAACTTTGCCACCGGTGACTCCTCTGAAATGGATGGCAACGAGGAAACGGTGGGTTCCGCAAAGGGAGAAGATTTACTACCGGAAATTGTCCAAGTTCCAAACTTGAAGAGTATTTTGTCCATGCCGCCAATAGAGCATACTATTCTGGATGAAATAAAGAATCTCTTATCGAAAATGACTGGGATGGATAGAAAGAAGTTCGACAGCGACTGGGCAACTAATGTGATTAGGAATAATTTACGGAACACGGTATCTGCCGCACCCACTTCAAAAACAGAACTTCCTCCTCTGACTGTGGAGGAGCATCAATTCAAGAATGGTAAATGGGTGACGAATATAGTTGCATTGGCGGCCTCAAACGAGAAAGCCGATGATTCAACGGATATGAAAAGATTGCAAGCTACTGTTAAAAGTCTTCTGCGTGATCCGGTAGTTGGGTTGCAAACAGGTAAAAATCCTGCTGTTCAAAACATAATTGTTCAAAGCATAAAAAATACGTTGAAGCCAGAAAATCCGACCCATGATGTTTTTAACGATTCGATCATTCGAAGCACTTTGAATGATGAATTGAATATCATGGAAATGGAAAACGAAGAAATTTCGACTACGGAAAATATATTTAAGTCTACTACTTTCAATTTATCGAATATCGATATGAAAGAATTTTTGGAAATTGCTAAAAATGAAGCAGATCTAAATGATGAAAAAGAAAATGAATCTACATTACAACCGTATGAAAAGGATAAAAAAGATATGTCAGATCGAAAAAACGATATTTCACCGACTGTGAAATTTTCGGATAATGATGTAGTTGGAGCGAAAAGAAATTTTGAATCCAGGGAAGACACTATGAAAGCTACTAAAACTTCGAATGAAGAGATAATTCGAGATAGCATAGAATTTTCAGAATTACCAAGTTATAACTCGATGACTGAAACTTGGCCAGATAATGATTCTTCCTCAAGAATTGAAGATAAATCTTCAACTAAGAGAATTAAAGACCACAGTGTGGAATATAGTTCTTCAAGAATGAATCCAACAGAAAATGTCGATATCGTGAATAGAGGCGAAAATGCGAGTATAGAAAAATCGATGGAAAACGAAGGTTCGGATACGATTCCTGCGCAAGATTTTACTTATTTGGGAAAAATCACTGTGAAAAATGAAGGTAATAAGAATGACGTTCAAAGTCTTCGAAATTCTGAGCTATTTTATTATGGTGATGGTGTAAAATTACCGTTGGAGATAAAAAAATTAAACGATGGTTCCTACGCTTTATCGATTTCCAGAAAAGTCTGTGAACAATTATTAAACAAGGAATGTCCTTGTTGCGTACCTACAAAAGGTAACGTTGTTCGTACCGTAAAAAGAAATTCAAGCACGATAAATGCTGATAGAATAGCGAAACAAAGTATAAAAATTTCTAAACGCGAATCGATGAAATCAATTTTGTCAAACGAGAAATATGATTTAACTGACGACAGCTTACAAATTTTCTCGATGCCTGTAGAAGTTTTCGCGAAGAGATACAATTTATCTCTAAACTTGGAGAAAGTGCAAATTCCGTGGAATTTCGACGCGAAGGAAAAGATTGATGAGCGATTGAGAGATCGACTGAAAAATTTTAGAAATAAAGAAGAAAAGAACGCTGATGCTGATCTTCAGAAATTACTTACTATAAGAATTTCAGAAAACAGTAAACCGAAAACAACTATTATAAAAGAGGAAAGAATAAACAATCATCCAGACGAGAAAAATGATATAACAAGTTATAAATATCATATAGAAAATCGAAGAAATCTTGAAAAGTATCGACATCAACGGAATATTGAAAAAAGCACAAACAAGCGAATAGAAATAGCGACAAAAATATTAAACTGGTTAAAAGATATAGTTCTAAGTACAAATACAAGATAAATGCTTATTAGATACTTATTATTTAAACGATTTTTTAAATCATACTTTTTTTAATATAATTTAATTGGCTATACTTTAATACTTTTTTATAATCTACTATGTAATATTTTTTTTAATCTAATATAAAAATAAAATAAATAAAAAATATCTGAAAGCTTAAAAAAAGAATTAAACCCTCCCAGCGATTTTAATAATTAATTTTTTTTAATAATATCAAAATTTTAGTAATATAAATGTTCTATCATATCAAATAGTTTATTTCTTTTTGCTTTTATATTTTACCTATCGTAATCTTTTTCTTTTATTATCGCATAAAGAGATCGATGATTCATACAATAATGACGTAATCCTAATGGTTACCTTGACTAATTTAGAAGATAGTTTGGTTATGTTTGGCAGATACGAACTTCTGTCAACATATCAAAAAAATGGGCTTGTTTGGCAAATCTCCAGAAAAAAATCCAAAAGAAATGGTTAGAATCGAAATGAATACTAATATCTATTCGATGTTTATACGAAATCGTATTTCAGGTTCAAGAATGGACACATAAATTAAGGAAAGAGGGCTATCAATTGGATAGACAGGTTAGAGGTAAGCTACTATCAATAATATTTTATAGAATATGTTATAAACAATAACATTTATATACAGCAATTCAACGAGAAGAAGATAAAATAAAACGTTCTTTAAAAGAAGCAGCGAAAAAAGGTGATAAAGATGTCTGTAAAATTCTAGCAAAAGAAATAATACGTGCACGAAAAACTTGTAACAAACTCTATACATCAAAGGCACATATGAACTCTGTTGCGTTACAAATGAAAAATCAATTAGCAACGATTAGAGTTGCTGGTTCAGTTTCAAAATCTACAGAAGTGATGCAAGCGATGCAATCATTAGTAAGAGTTCCAGAAGTAGCAGCAACAATGAGAGAATTATCAAAGGAAATGATGAAAGCTGGTATTATTGAAGAAATGTTAGATGAAACTATGGAATCTGTAGAAGATTCTGAGGAAGTAGAAGATGAAGCAGATGAAGAAATAGACAAAGTAAATTATTATCTACTATGTGTAAAAATATAAAAAAATTATACTAATAATAATAATATAAAACATTTCATATCTATCACAGATCTTATGGGAAGTAACTGCAGGACAATTGGGTACAGCACCTGCAGTTGTTACAGAAACTCCAGGATCTATTGTAGCATCTACTTCTGCAGAAGAAGAAAGTGAAGAAGTAGATGATAAAGAACTTGAAGAAATGAAAATGAGACTACAAAGTCTTCGTAGTTAGGTGTAATATATAAATAATTTTCATCTGCATTGACTTAAAAATCAACTTGCACTTAATGAACATATAAATACATAAGGTACAAATACAGTGGAATGAATACCTAACTTAACATAATATTTAATTGATGCTTTTATAATATTGAATAACCAAAAAAAAAAAATAAGTATTATAAAAAATGAAACAAAAATTTTTATTTTATCTATACAGTTTTTATATCCAGCTTTTATAACCTGTATGTGATTTATAGAATGTCACTATTTCAACTATATATGAGTCATAAAAATACAGAGAAGCTGGCTTCTTGATTGTATTATGTTGAAACATATACTTTTTAATTTAATTACAATCAAAATCTTGTATTAATATGTATTATACATAAACAATGGCTTTAATTGTTATTTTTTGTATAATTTCTTATATAAATTATACCTCTTATATATTAATTTCTCATATATTATATAATATAACAAAAATAATACAAACAGTATCACTGGTATATATCTGTGCACAAGATTACTATATTCACACGTCTTTAAAGTAGCTGAATTCAGACATTTTCAACTTTAATATTTTGATATTAACTTATTCTAAATCACAGAATCAAAGTATTCCATAAGAAATTATGTATTCTAAATTTGATAATTGTGTAGAGCATCCCCTTGGTATATTGTGCAAGTGTACAGACTACCAAGAAATACTAAATAAATTCACATCTTATAATATTGGTACAGAACATTATTTAAAACCTAAAGTAAATGTAGGTAAGTAAAGTAAATATTCATTCATTATACAATAAAATTAAATAATATTCTGATTTTAATCATTTGTGTTAGAACCAATTGCTTCAGCAAAAGTTTTGTGGATAAACAACCATTTAAAATTAGATGAAGATATTTCAAAACCAATACTTCTTTATCCTCAAGAACAACCAAATATTACTGCTTACAATGTAGACAAAATATGGATGCCTATTGTATCAAATTTAATACCTCTAAAATTTATATTTAAACTTTAAACTTTTGATTCTTATTTTATAATATTTATAATTTATATAATATTTACATATTAAAATATATAAAATAAATATTAAATTTTATTTTGAGAAAATACTCAAAAAAAAAAAAAAAAAAATAACATAATTATTTTTTTGTATATATAAATTTATAATTTTATTATAGCTAAATTTTTAGCTATCTTATATTTCATATTTTTTCAAAAAATTTTATTGCACAATAATTCTTTTTACATTTTTTTTTTTTTTCAACAAAATTTGTATGTACATGTATATATACATATTTAGTGTATACATATACATATATACAAATACATATACATATACATAAATTACATATTAGAACTATAATCCATTGCTATTATAAAAATTTGAGATTATAAAATTAATTAATGTTAAAAAAAAATTAAAGTATTTGCAAAAAACAGTATAATATTCTGTCATTTAAAAATATATATCTCAACAATAATAAAATCAAATGACATAAAAATAATCAAAGAATTTACTATAGATATTATTTGTACTTTACAATTTTGTTATTCTTTAAACTTATTATTACCTATCTCTCATCATAATATAATAAATATAATATATTTTAATTATCATTATTTAAAGGATATATGACTGATCTCTTTCAATATGTAAATAATGTGCATAAATTTAAAATATTTATACTTAATTATATATTCTTAAAAATACTATTATTTATTTATATCTTAGCAAATTTACAGTTGCTCAATTACCATATTAACAATTGAAAGTTTCATCTGTGCTCTAGCTTTCCTAGGTAGTCTATGCATATAAGGTGCCAATTTGCGCAAAAAACATTTAACTTCATTTCTAATAGGAAAAATTGTTCTTCTCATTGTTCCTGAAATTTTTTTACGTCTCAAAGATCTCTTTTGTTTTGGTGCTAAACATTCTACTTCTTCAAAATCTTCATAAAATGTATCTTCTTTCACATTAGCTGCTTCTTCATCTAATACTTCCAATGAATGTGGCAATATAACTTCTTCATGTACTTCTAATTCCTCACTAATTACTTTACCATCTGTTTCTTCTAAAGAAGTTGACAAAAATTCAGCTAAATTTTTATCTGTTTCCTCTTTATTTTGTTTTATAATTGGTATTGTGACTGAAGCTTGACCATTTTTCATCCAAATTTGCTGTCTAAAATCAATTTCATTAGAGGTAGTTGGAGTATGTATCATTTTTGTCCTAGTTTGCTTTTTTATTGTTTTCATTGATTTTTGTTGTTCTTGTTCAGGAAGATCTATTTTAATTAATAAACCTGGAGGGATACTGGATAAACTATGTACTGGAATAGGAGCTCCTAAATTTGATATATCACCAGTAAATGGTAAAATCACTTTTTTTATATTACCTTGAATATTATTTGGTATATTTGATGTAATATGATTTGCTATTGTTATAGGTTGAAGTTGATCTGTAAATTGAATCTTCCAACTAGGAGTAGGAGGAAGTGGTAATTTTCTTATTACTCGATTTTCAATATTATTAGGATCAGGCCTTGGAATGTTAATAAGAGTTGGCCTTTTAGATTTCCCACGTTTCTTTGCAAGAGGTGTAGGCTTATTATCTACCTTTGGTTTTTTACTAGATACTAAAGGTCTTGAAAAACTTTGCCTTTTAATTCCTTTACTTGTATTAGTACAATTAGACTCTTCTAATATATCTTGGTCATCTTCAATCTTTTCTGTTGAATTAACACAATCCAATTGCGATACGTCCTTTATAGTTGGAACAGCATCACATGGTCCTACCCTATGAAAACTTTGTCCTGTTTGAAAATGTTTTGAACAAAGTACTAACTTTCTTATTTGATTTGGAGACATTTTCAATATATCTTCTCTACCTAAAAATTGACACCATCTTAAACATCTGCCAATTTCATAAGCAGGGAAAGGATGAAATTTATATCTTTCTATTTTATTTCTTGGATCAGATCTTAATCTACCACAAGCTGCACATGCTTGACTTTCTAAAACAGCAGCGGGTAAAGGATCTAATTTCTTGGATTTTTCTGAGGAACTATAATTTGATTCTGGTACAAATTCTATAATATATTGTTCAGATCCATCCAATTGATCAGGATTTCTGATATTGGGAATAGCATTGTCTATCAATCTACTCTTATAACCAGACATAAATTGAGAACGATCAAAATGTTTTGAACAAATGTAACAAAACAAGATTTCTTTTCTTGTCAATCTGTAATATGAATCTACACCAACAAAATCGAGCCATTTGAGACATCGAAATTCTTCACCAGGAAAATGATGAAAAGTTACACCATCATAATCTCTATCTGATGGATCTCGACGAGATCGACCACATAATACACAGGTTATGTTGTATAAACTTTGTGTAGGATCATAAATTGAAGGTACTGCATTACAGTTTAATCTGTCGAGATATTCATTTAAAAAATCCTTTTGTTCGAAGTGTTTGGAACACACCATTCGTTGAAGTAATTGTTTTTTTGTGAGTTTATATAAATCTTCACGACAACAAAAATCCAACCACTTTCTACATCGAGGTATATCATTAACAGGAAATCCAAAAAACATATATTCTTCTTCTTTATTGTTTGGATTCAGACGCGAACGCCCGCATACAACACATGGATGTGGCATTTTTTAAATCGTTTTTTCTGCCTATACTTTTGTCAAATAAACAATTCCATCTTGTCACAGCTTCATAAAAATGTTAAATTTACGCTAGATATTTTCTAACTATCGCAATTAATACACTTATCAAACGATTTAAAATTAAATTATCTTCTTATAATCTTTTTGTATACGATATAATTTTACAGTATTTAAAGAATAAAATTCAATAATAAGATACAATAACCCCTTCATTATTTTCCAACTCTACATGTATTTCGAGTAAACGTTTCTTAGAAACAGTACTGTTAAAAATTCAATAACTAAAAGTTTTTCTTTAAGCACATCTTCTTTAATAATAAATATGTAAAAAATTACTTTTTTTATATATTACACTTGTTGCGCTTTTCTCAAGCAATTTGAGAGGTTATGCTGTTTGTTACAGCGTCTTTCACCTAACCTTTATATAAAATAATATAACTGATATATAACACGATAATACATTAGCTAACCTGTCACAGTACTACTGTCAAAATTTGTTTTTGTTCATAAAAGAAATGGACAAAATGGCAGAAAATTCTAATAATCCATATGATATTAATGGACAACAATTTAACCCTGATATGTATTTTCAAAAATTATTAAAAGTAAGTGCACTTTTCAATTTTCTTTAAGTTTTATATTTATTTAATGATACTAAGCAATAAATTTTTATTATTTTATTTCATTTTTACAGGAATGTACATTAAAACAAATTATGGATCATGAAGCAGAAATTATAAAAAATACTCAAATTTTACATTCTGACATGCAAACTCTAGTATATGAAAATTATAATAAATTTATATCTGCTACAGATACTATCAGAAAGGTAAATTTATTATATATGATTCTATAAATACAATTATTTTTAATTTATTAATTACTTAATTTTATATATATGTTATACTTATTCATTATTTAGATGAAAACAGATTTTAAAGAAATGGAAGATAGTATGGATTTATTAGCAAAAAATATGGACAGTATTACTACTTTTTCAGAACAGATTTCATCAACATTACAGGGTACAAGACAACAAATTGCCAAATTATCTTCAGTTCATGCATTATTGAAAAAATTACAATTTCTTTTTAAATTGCCTGGCAATTTAAAAGACAAAATGAATGAAGAAAATTATACACAGGTTTATGTTTCATTTCATATCATTATATTTCTTTTAATATACATAAATTAATTATATTTAAATAAGGATGTATATTTAATTTTTGTAGGCAGTACAAGATTATATACATGCACAACGTGTGTTGAATCAGTATGGCAATATGCCATCTTTTCAAGGAATTCAAAAAGACTGTGAAGATATTTTAGAGGAACTTAAGTTAAGATTGAGAATGCAATTTCATAAAGGAGATGCATCAACTAAAGCTTTAGCTGAAAATGTAGATCTATTGCTACAGCTGAAAGAACCAGCTGATTCTTTATGTGCTGAATTTTTAACACATGCAGATGGAAGATTAACTGAACAACTAGATATTTTAAAGGATATGTGTGAAAATGATATCATAGAATTTGTAGATATGGCCAGTTCAGGATTTCTTAGTGATTTATGTTTGATTGTTGCATCTTATAATGATATGTTCATAAATCGATCACCATCTGAAGATAATGAATTTATTGATGATTTTGATACAAAAGCTCTTGCACGTTTAAATAGTTTTATTATGAAAAATATGAAAAAATATTTTGATTTAAT